GGAATGTGTTGTTCACACTTTCCTTTCCAACTGAACCAAAAAATACCAAGCACGTGAAACAAAATTTGTACACCAGTGTTTCAGAATTTTGGGTAAAGTCTAAATGTCTTTTACCACTAATCCAAAGGAGAAACCTAACAAATCAAACTGAACCAAAAAAATATCTACCACGAGAAACAAAACTTTCCCCAGATTTGCCTTTCCCATTGTTGCCTCAAAAATATGTCCTCCTCCTCCTGCCTCTGTTGGTTAACTTTAGTAAATATCACATGCAGCAATGTGTTGTTCACACTTTCCTTGATTCCACATTAAATTTCAAACAAGTCTACTTTTTGTGCGTCCAAAATAGTCTTGGCTGCTTTTGAATATACAATGCGACTTGAAAGATTATCCGCGTATGCATCCCAGCGTATAATTCTACGTGAGCAGAGCAACTTGGAAGTTTAGAGTAGTTCGTAGTGTGACTCGTGCTTCAGCAAAAGTTAGTCGTTCTCTATGAGAGGCTTCGAAACTTGCCCATTTGCTTTTGGTGTCACATTTTAAACGTTTCAGAAACGAAGAAGAAAGAATCAAATCGGTGAAAACAGTTTTTCAGGAACGCTTCTTAAGGGAAGATAAATCTTACATCTCTAGAAAGGAGTTTGACTTTGCCAGAAACGCAGCACTGATCATTTTTTGTATGCCTAAAATATTTAAGATGTTTGTTTAGGTCAAATATTCCCAAACTTGTTTAGCCGATATTAATTTTTTGATAAATATCTATTTGAAATATCGTTTTGTATCAAATATTTAATATAAAGATACAAATACAACTTTAAACATTTATTAATTAACTTTGAAATAATAATAAAAAATTTATATTAACAAGATGCATCATGGATCTTGAAGTTGTCATAAACACCTTGGCGTCCATATGAACCACTTTAGGAATTACTGGTATACGTCAACAACTCTATGGTCTAAAATGGTAAGTTTAGCTAAAGTATTCTCTGGTCTAGTTTTTCTTCTGAGAAGTTTAACTATTCAAAAATATGTGTCCAAGAAGATTTTTCAAATTTCGAATTATTTTCAGAGATACCGCTGTTTCCTTCTCCAAAACTTTAAACGCGTTTTTCTCAAAACTGTATTTTTCGATACGATACTCACGATTTCTCAACTTCTACTGGATCGATTTTCTTTAAATTTTTACAAAGACTACTTCATAGCCTTCTCTTTAGTGTGATCTGCGCTCGTCATCTTTTTTGCATCTTTTTACGTTTCAGAGGTTTCTGAGCATTTTGGCATACTTCAGAAAAAATTGATGTGTGTGTGTCTGTGTATGTGTGGGGACAATTTTCGTCGAAGATTTCGGGCGTATGAATGAACCGATTTGAAAATTCAAAAAGCAATCGATTCCTATTGATAAGGAGATGGGCCTTCACAGACTCAACTATATAGACTCCCCTTTAGTTTGAATTGCGCTCATCCCCAAATTACATTTTTAGTAATTTAAAAAAAAACGAAAATATTAAAAATAAAAGTGAGACATAATTTAACTATCTAGAACAATCCTAAACTGGTACCTTGAATATACAGATTTCCCAGTTGGTACAAAATCTGAATTTGTCGAGATTTTGGCGCATTGACCATCTATTTACTTTATCCGTGATCCATAAATTACGTTCGAATTTACCTTCGTCGCACCCTAAAACAAATAAAACTTTTGCCGCCTCTTCTGGCGAGCTTTGTCGCTAAAATAACAAAACTGGGACAAACATAATGCGAAAGAAATATCTAAGCTCGATATCTCATAACTTCCTCGATGTAAAAAGTCTGCTGTAAATTTAATTATCCATCTAATAAATCACATAAAAAACAGAACGGCCGATATAAATCATTAAAATACACCACTGCCGCCGATCCGGCCGCACATATTTAATTTCGTTCGCATTTAATTACGTTAAAAGCGTCGCCTGATAAATTATTCATATTCACAGACTGTGAACCAGAATGAATCGGGACCAAAGCCTTTCTGATATATTATAGATGGCGATTCTATAAAAAATTCCACGTAAAGATCCATAATTCAAACATTGATATCTTGACGGGAATCTGTGATAACTTAATACCTACTTTCGATATTGTTTCATGTTATTCAATACAGTTTCGAGTAAACATTATTGGAAGGAAATGTAGAACATGTTTGGTAGATATACGGAAATTGACTGAGATATTTATCATACGTACACTTCATAATATGTGTTATTTATAGGTTTATAAAAAAAAGTCCAGAACTGGTCGTGTAAAGCCAGACTGAAGTTTCTGTATTAAATCTGATCTACTGAAATTATTGTATGTGTAAATACATTCAGTGGAAACTCATTTCAGTATATTCATTTAAAATACAGATAACACAATAAGCGATAAACTAAAAACGCTCATTAAAAAAATAACAAAAGCCTTCTCGAGGATCACACAAAATTTTCCAGATAACTTCACCACCCGAGCAAGTTTGAGAAAGAATTTCATGTTATATTAATATCTGTAATTTTCAAAATCTTTAACAATAGTCAGAAGATTTTACATTTTTAGAAACACATCCATTTTTTCTGAGGTATGCCAAAATGTTCAGAAACCTACAAAACGTCGAGAAATGCAAAAATTTTCATTTTCAATTTTTGGCCCATTACTATAACTACCCTACGGAAAGTTAATTGTCAAAGGTTGTCCGTACCTACCTAACATTTTTTATATTTTTAGATCAATTTTCTTTTAGTTTTAATATTTTTATAATGTGGCTTTCTACCCCAAATCCCTAATTCATAATCGAAATATCATTCATCAAACTGATAATAAGATTTCCTAAGACTTAGGGAATTGTGGTAAAAGGGCGTAAAAATTTAGAGTTGTATGTATTTTTCCAACTTGTTCAATTAAATTCACAATTTTACTAATTGTGAGACTTATTATAAATGTAATATTGCAAAACATTTAATAAACGAATCAAATTCCAGAAGTTCTTTGTAATTCGCACTGTCAATAACGCGAATTATTTGCAATATTACTTTTCTTAGTGAAAAGAATGAAATGCATGAACTTAAAGTACGCCCTGCAGAAAAACTTAATGAGCATTTTTACTTAATTAAATCTTTGAAGTTGCCGCGCTCTCGCTTGCTGCGCATTCATTATCTGCCGTCGAAAAAGTGTTGTGATAACGATGCGAATTTAATTATATCTGATCATCAGTTATTTTTTATATTGACTCAAAACTTTGAAGAGTTTTTAATTAATGTAAAACGTTGATCCATCTAGATGGAAACACTTTTCTTTAAATTGGTTTAAGCAGACGGAATTCTTATGAGAATAAAAAATTTGAAAATATTTTTGTTTTTGCCGCGAAAAGTGTCTAGACCTATAATCATAGAATCACATGTTGCAGAAATAATATACTTACATTCGGAAATATAGATCAAAGTATTTTTCTAAATTTACCAAGAATAAAAAGCTCCTTAAGGACCATATTTATGAGAATGTGTGTCCATGCCCATTACACAATATAAAAATCATTATACCTACGTCTTATGTTATTCCATTATTATATTCGTCCTTTGATATGTTTATATTTTCAAATTGAATTTCTTTCCGGAATAGAATAATACGTTTTGCGAGAGAGAGCTCATACAAAAACTTTTAATTTATTCTAACTTCGTAATGGAATTTACAATGGCAAGTTATAATTAGATCTCAGAGTTCTCAATCTAAACATCAAACTAAAATTAGATTAGCGAAATAAAAAGTGAAAATTAGGATATATACCGGTGTCACAGGATTTTGAAGATGTTATATTAGGAAGAAGATAATTATTTCGCATTAAGCGAGATGAAAAACGAGATGATAAAAATAATAGGAGATAATAATTAGGATAATCTACAAATTGAGTAGTATTTTTTTGGTTTGGTATTAGCCAATGAACAAATTTTTTAAATCTAATTCTAAAGTTTAGCATAATATACGCATCTAATTGACAAGGGTTTCCGGACTGAATATTAGATTTGTTAAATTTTATCCACAAAGTTTTAAGTAAAGACTTTCAGATGGCATTTAAATGTCGTGAGGATCTAAAATGTTCAGAAATCATCGAAAAAAAACATAATTGGCATCCGAATAGATCGAAAATTTTTTGGCAACCGAAGCAGGTAGAAACTTCAAACACAAAGTAGATAAATTGCCATTTAGCGAAAAATATGGATAATTACCATTTATTTCAATGTTTTTAACTATTGGTGAATTAATCGCTAATAAACCAAAATATAGCATGACTCCAGAGGTTCTCGATTTTTTTTAAGTGAAAGTGCTAAAAATTACACAGCATATTCACTAATCGAGCAAATATCTGCTAAAGTTTAATTATGAGCTCTTAAAATCCGCATTCTAGTTACATGAACTTAATTTTTTTTAGAAAAAAAAACAGAGATCCAAGGTTATTAAAATCTATTATTTTTCAAGAAACTTTTGTAATGAAATTTCTCACTATATTCACTAATCGGGCAAATATCTGATAAAGTTTAATTATGAGCCATTATAGTCCACTAGCTAGATGTAAGTTCTAATATTTTTTTTCAGAAAAAAAACACATCCAAGATTATTAAAAACCTATTTTTTTTTTCAAGAAATACTTTAACTAAAATTTCTCTGTAACTCATAAACAACGGTTTGAGTTAAAAGTAGATTTGTGAAAAGCATCATAATTAATTAGTATTCATATTTAAAAAAAACAGATTCCGATATTTTCGTCTAATTTTTCAGCATTTCGAGAGTCCTATTTTGCATTTCCATACCAATTGAAAAAATTCGTATCGTATTATTCATTCAAATTACGAGACATGGTCGATCAACCAATAATAATTCAAACATGAATAAATATTATAAATAATATAAATTACGAGACATAGCCAGTCAACCAATAACAATTCAAACACGAATAAACTTTATAAATCATTTATAAATATATAATCACTTACCTAATATCTCGACAGTGTGAACCTGGTCTCGATTATCCTGATCACTAATTTGACACATGTAATCACCAGCATCCTGGGGTCTCACGTCGCCGATTTGTAAATTGTAACCGTCGACAAGGCGAAAACGCGGATCGCGAGTCACCATTAAGGTGGACGCTGTGAGGACCGAAGCCCCGCGGCGCCATAACAGTACGAAGTTACCTGGGAAAAAAGAAATAAATTGTATATAGAAAATATATTGTTAAGACAACTAAACTGGAGAAAATACACAATAAAAAAATTATGTATTAACGTAATAAACCATCAAAATTACTGAATGTTGTATAAGAACGACATATTGTAATTCACAAATAATAAAAAAAAGATATTGGAACTCGTTGATATCAGTATATCCAAATAGCAGAATTGAGTTCTCGTCAACGGTGATCAGTAGCTACCTGCGAATCACATAATCAACATATTCCATAGATCTTGATGCTTAATCGGGAGCAAATTCTAAACTTTGATGAATTTTTATATATCAACCACTTATCGTAGTCCTATAATATTTTAGTATGCTATTTCAGAATGCAAGATCTAAGGTTATACGAAGTTTCATCCAAATTGACAAAAAAATCAACATTTAATTCCAAAGAAATGGTCTGTACCAAAAACTAATCAACACGATTCCCAATCATTATCTTTCGAACAGTTTTTAAATTTTAAAAATCAGTTCAAGATTGTGAGCTGAAACGAGAATGAAAAAAATCAGACTTTTATGCAAATTACAAAGAAACGGTTTGGCCGATCGTCAAAACAAAAACTAATCTACAAACAATATCTTCTGAACATTTTTTGAATTGATAAAATTGATTCAAGATTGTGGGCTAAAACGTGGACGAAAAACTTCACGCTTTTATACTAAATATAAAGAAATCGGTTTAGCCGATCGTTGCACAAAACTAATAAATGTCAGGTTTTATCAAGTTTTTTTTAAAATTTTTGAATTCTGTGCAGACACTTTTGAGAAATAAAATACAAGTGTAAATATTAATTATAAAATGTTTATGACTGATGTACGTGTATACAAAGTCAACAAATAAACAACAAAAAAATTAAAAATTGGTTTACATACATACACACGGGCAAACTTTTTTCAAATTCTATTTAAATTTAAATTTAAAACATCTTCTTAAGAAAGTTAATTGATAATAAAATCTAAACAAATATCAAGAGCGTCAAGGTTTCCAAATTTTTCAGATTTAAATATGTGTAATATCCTCCAAAGTCATTATACCTCTGAGTCATCAATAAAAAGCAAGAAAATGTTGTAGAAAATCACGATTTTATATATTTTTTGGAATAAAATCATCTCAGACACCGAGTAACATTTTTCGTCAACGCATTTAATAGGTCAAAATCCATTCCGCCCTGTATTTAATAGAATCCCTCATATTTTTTATATCAAACTTACTTGTTACTTGTTACTAGCATGGCAGACAAAGTGTTAAGTCGCTGTAACAATCGGATATTCAACGAACTGTTATATTAAATTAGTAAATATTCTTCTATATGAATAATATAATGTTACAATTGAATTTATTTAACAAGAATGTTCCTAGTTGTCCGCTAGAATGAACAGGTGTACCTTCGGGCAACTTATGCACCCGTCCAAAAAATTTCGTTCGTTGCGATTCGGTAGTGTTCGAAAGATTTCGTAAATACTGGGCCATAGGCGTCGTGAATAATAAATAATTTGGATAGAAAGTATAAGATATTATATATTAATAAGTAAATAACAATTCAAACAAAAAAAAACTTAAAATATTAATGAAAAATCATTCCTAGGCCACGAAAAATTTGCTCATATAGTAATAAAATATTCTGAATGATTATTTAAAAATCTCTCAAAAATCTTATAGTGAAAAAGTAATTGTCATTGCTAATCAGAATTACTTTATGAATAATTATTTAATAAACCGCTAGACCTTCAAAATCGTCACGAAAATTTGATCAGTTCTTCATCTTGATAATACAAGTAAAATGTTTTCTGAATTATTCAAATCGGACGCTCCGTTCTTTTGAAAACTGAGTTACCGTTTCTGGCACTTTTTGCCCCATATTTTCGAAACGGCTAGACCTGCCTTCGCCAAAAACTAATCAGCACGTCTTCTTATCAATACGAATCAATGTTTTTTAAATTCTTCAAATCGCTTCATCCGTCTTCCCGAAATCGTCGACGAAAATTTGTATTCGCACACATACACATACACACACATACATCCATTTTTTCTAAGGTATGCCAAAATGTTCAGAAGGTTTTGAAACGTAAATATATGTAAAAATTTTCATTTTCGATTTTTGGACGATTACAATAACTTTGCCCTACAAAAAAACTAAGATAAACATTATCATTAATCAGTTCTATTTCCATAATTGATTACGCTTAAATTCATTTTTCTTCTGAATCCAAATATAAATCAACTTCCAATTTTTTCCCTACGATAACAAATTTCAATCTTCCCCATGGAAAATATAGAAAAAAAAAGGATTTTTTTTTATAAATTCCGAACGCGATATGTGACATGACACTTGACAGATGACACATAGCCTCTTTGATTTATGTCGACTGGCTTGACTTGACGAAAACGCCAAAAGAATACATAAATCCTTTGCTGAAAGCTAAGGATATGAAAAGGATGTAGAACAAACGTATCAAATGTATCATGTACGGTTCATTGATATAAGTTTGGAATTATATCGACGACATGGTAGAGGAAAACATACCCAACTTAGAAGAAAAACAGTAACTGAAATGTTAGTGTTTTATTGTTACTTAAATTTGGATTTTTTTATTGGCCTTTGCTGCAATATGTGTTACATCCTATGCTAATACATTATCCTTCGGAATTTTTAAAATTCTATTTAATTTATTTTGTGTTCCATGGTCTAATAAAGTTTTACATTAAAAGTTAAAGCTTCTGTAGTCATAAGACAAAATTTGTGGAGAATACAGTAAACCTTGCCTAAACCCAAAAAAGTTGGTCAAAATTTTTAGACTTGATTTGTAAAGTTTCTTACAATTTGGTAATAATATTTAGAATAACAATTTGTTTTGGTAAATGAGTTCAAAGTATGTAAATTTATAACAAAATATTTGGTACTGCTAATATAAATATAAAAAATAAATTTTATTTTATTTTTATAAAAAATTATATATTTTTTTTAATAAATATATAAAGAGATGCACGCCTATGCCTACTCAATAGATCACATTCCCAAAATCGATGCATCGATATTGGACACGTACCTATGACCTTGACAGTGATTATGCAATTTATTTTTTGGCAAGTGCACAATGAATGATAAGTGCAAGTGGCATTTTGCCTTACGACACGTTGCATGAGCCTTCCGATATGTATAAATGAAGATAATCAATAAGAAATCAAATATAACAATCAAAATAAGAAATCAATAACAAATTAGGGGTTATTAATAAGTATACGCGGTACCCTAAAATCCAGAAATATTATGCTAGGTGCAAGTGGCATTTTGCCTTACAAGTTGCATAAATTACCCGACAAAAGTAAATAATCGACATAAGCAATATCTAATTACCATATCCATTTAAGAGTGATTTATAAGTATACCAGGTTGCCTAAGGGTATAAAAATCATAGAAAATGTTGAAGATTGTTTAAGTTTGTACAAATTTACAAATTTATTAAAAACATACTTATAAAATTTTTACGCTGAATTATTGTAACTCAATAGACAACTATTGACTACTCGAAAGAGTGATTCATGAAATCAGCTCCAAAGATGTTGTAAAGTTAAACGCCTTGAACATTGTCTTTTTGGGTTTTCATCGTGCAAAATATAATTCAAACCCAAATCAAAATTGAATATTTCTTAATTTTTATTATCTGCAAAAATCCCATTATCATTTATATGTTTTTTTCATCCCTCTCGTTAAATCTTTCTCTGACCTCGACGGGGGAGGTGTTAATACGCGCCACGGCCTAGCCGCTCGGATTCATTTCGTTTTTCGCTGACTGCTCATCTAATTTCGATGCATTATAATAAGAAGGGAATAATAATATGCAATTTACATAATTTATATTCAGCAAAAAAAAATACGAACTTAGCTGTTTTGCTTCACCACAGGGAGGGAAGAAAGATTCCACTTGACAAGTTATTTTGAAATAAATATAGTATATGCGATGCTTTACGTTGTACCATGATTCAAAGTACTATTCATAATAACACATAAAATGTTGGTAGTAAGAATTTTTTATTTTTTCACATTTCATGGGCATATTTTTCACTTATATCAGACAGAACTTTGTCAAAAGAATTAAAGAAAGTTGGAATTACTTTTATACTATTTTTTTATTATTTACACCTTGTCAGTGTAAATCGTTATACTAATTTTGAAAATCAGTGTCTATTTTATTAGGGTGAATATCTTCTACGTGCATTTCATTTGTATTATCATCATTTTTTAAAATTGCTCTAGCTGTTAAATTCCCCCCATTAACTGCAACTTGAAATAATTGCATAATTTCCATTTATTGCCGACCATAAATAATAATTTTTATTACATTAATACCCAGATTAACACACACACGTGTGAGTTGCATTTAAATCTAAATAGCTGGAGCTCTTAACTTTGTATGCAATTAAATTTTTATTATTTCTCTTTAACGGTTTGCATGCAAACTCTAAAGCCTTGTTAGTCATAATTTTTGTTTTATTATTATTTTCATAATTATCCATTTTTTCTGTTACAATTGCCAGAGCAATATGCTGGTAATAGATTTTGCATGGGTCTTAAGGTCGTTAACGTTATCATTATTTAATGCAGATTTAAGCGGTTTTAGGAATATGGAAATGGGTTTTCTTGAAACAAGAACTAAAGATGAAGAAAATAATGCTTCTATAATTATTGTTGAAAAATAGTTGTTGCTATTTTATAATCCATTATCGAATCAATTGATTTTAAATATCGAAGGAGAAGTATGTTTTCACGAGAAAATCAGGTTTGCGAATTATATTTTCTCCACGCTCTAAGTCATTCTAAATCCTTTGACATTATAGTTGGAAAAAGTATGTGTGTATGCGAGGTAAATTTTACCATTAAAATAAATATTAAATTATATTAATATCCAAACTTACCCAAATTTTGTACTTCGCATGGCAACACCAAGGTTTGGCCGATCACCGCGCGATACGACCGGCCTCGCGTCAAGAACTTCGGGGCAAGTGTAGGCGGGTAAGAGTTCACAAAGCCGACTGCCAAGGCTGAAAAAAAAGAAAATATGTGTTATAAATTATTCTAATTATAAGAATATTGACCTAAAATTATTTTAAACCTAAACATGAAACCCACTTCATTTGCATAAATTTAAAAAAATGGTCTAATCTGAATCGACAAATAAAAACTATGGTAATCATAATAAATATGGTGATAATCAGATGGTTATTATCTCATTAATCTAATATCCATAGATATATAATATTTCATAAGTGTATATATATCCATTAAATCTGCAACTTTAGATTATCAATTATTACTTCCAAGGTTTACAATTTAACTCAAACAATATTTTTTTCAAAATAGAAAAAGTTGTGAACATCAGGTAAATGTTTGATGCTACATAAAAACTACGAGATGAGTACAACGATGATACAGAAAACAATCCAACGGTTTCGTCATTATAAAATCTGAGGAAAACTTTTTCGCTAGTATATATTTATACAAAAAATATATAGTTAATATAGTTGTGTCGAAGGGCTGAGGTTCATACTTCTAATGATAAAGAATTGAAGTACTAAAAAAAGCTTGAATTTCAATTAATTTGTCTTGGAAATGAATAAGTGTACATGTGTAGGAAATATTTCTTTTAATAAATTAATTAATAAATATGACATATCAAACACTATAACCTCGTGATGATTAATGATTAATGTGTATTAATTAGAATGAATAATTTGGATGCCAAGTTTTAGTGCAACTACAAATTTGGCTTTGTATCTTTGATGGAAGTTCTAATAATAAAGTTAGTTAGAATAAATCATAGTATACTATCTTTTTGTAAATTGATTAAAAAGCATCCTAAATGATGTGTAGGATTTTTGAAAATTATAAAATTATTATTTCATTAAAGTTGAGAGACAGATGAACTCTTACAATTAGTTTTTATTGAATTTTTTTTGAATGATTTTATTCTGCGATTTGTTTATACAAAACAATGACCAGAACCCGTCAAGAATAGATATGACAAAAGAACCATCATTATCAGATATTAGTAGATATGCCCAGTGGAAAATCTATTAGGAATATAATGAAAATAACTGGATGGGATCAGTGAGAAACCCGATTTGAGTAAGTATTATTACCAGCTCCAATTTTTTCATCCACTATCTGTTCCAGTGTGCATTTGTTCGTTCGTTAGCAGTTCTCATAAAATAAACAAAAGACAATTTCACAAGCATCTCTATACTAGAAAACGGTTCTACCATTACGTTGGCAAAAGTTGCCTCCGCGAAAAGTTGCCGCGGTCTCGCGAACTAACAAAACGCAAAAATGAATAACATTGGTAAACATCAGTAGTTTCACCAACTGATTCTAAATGAAAGTTTTCATATTTAAACAAGTAAATCGTAGAATATTATGTCGTGAAAACATGGTTTATAGTAAAATAAATATAATTCTCGTGTAGTGATGTTAGTTGCAATACTCAAAACGGTTTGAGAAAACTAGATACCATACAAATCAATATGAAAGAAAATAATATGTCAATATACATTTTTGTAAACAAATATTTTGTAATACATTTGTATAAAATTAAAAATTATTAATTACAAATTATCACATTTCCATAATGGTGGCCCGGACGATATGTGAGCCCACAATTAAGTACAACGTGTTTCCAATCACCTGCAAATAGGTTCGTTCAGATATTTTGAAATCTTACTCTGCATATTGCAACCTTGAAACCCAAATTAAACCTAAGTCTAATTCACAGTCACCCTTCACAAGTCAGAATTAGGAATCCTTGATGATCTGTATTTTCTGTCCATTACTCTGATGGCCACTTTTAATTAAAACTAACTGGCAAAGTTTTGTTTCTAAAAATACATCCTTCACGATTAGTCCAGAGGTTCTCCCAGCTCGGACAAGTGTACATATGGACGTCATATATCACATTATGCGGTTAACATGTTTCATAAACTGCCATGTGCGCGTGGTCTCTGCCAAATTAACTTGTCAGCCTGACCGAAACACTCGTCCGTAGAGAGAGGCCAGGATTGTTTGCGTACTTTTAATTATGTACGAGTAGGTATAGAGCAGTTTGTGCCTCCAGTGGACTGCTCCACTGACTTTTCCAATCGGGAATTGAAAATTCTCAATTGAGGTAAATGATAAACTAGTTATCCAGGGTCCTTGTGATTTCCTTGAAGTATGATAATAACATCTTATCTTATCATATCTTAGCTGGTTTTCTAGGAGCCCTTGCACGAGGGTTTTGTGTTCTTAGGATTTTAGGATAGATAAATTTTATATTGCCTGTCGCGAAACAATATTATGCAAGACGGTTTACATTTCCAATATACTTTTAGTAAAATGGTGCGTATTGTTATGAATTATTTTTACACTAACCCCGAAACTTATAATGTATCTAGTATAAATGTAAATAACATCTTTTCCAGCCCTTTCCTTGCCATGTATTATAATACCTAGCTAGATGCTCGTCTGCTAGCAAAAGTTTTAATTGACTGACATAATAAATGTTACTCGCGGAATATTATTCTCTTAGCGCATACACGCGAATACAGGAACCGGTCTCGGGGGCCCCGAATGATTACTGTTCCGGCCCAGAGAAGCGCGAATCCGTTATTTAATTGCACAAAATCGTTTTGGTAAACTTTCCTATGGAGTCATAATGAATTCATGATGCTTGGGGAAAATGGATGAAAATTAAAACACTACTGTGTGATAGCTTTATGATCATCAACTGAGGATAGTACTAAATTTGATAAGAATTGTTAGTATAATTTTGGTTTTTATGTATACGACGTCGAACCTATTTGCTGATCGGAAACACGTTGTACTGAATTGCGTGATCACATCTCGTCGGGGTCACCATTATGGAAATGTGATAATACTTTATGAAAATGTATTACAAAATATCTGTTTACAATTATGACATATTATACTCTTTTGTTGGTCAGCTACTGTAATCCCACATGTATTACATTATTACATTTTAGATCTTAGATCCTTCATTAAAATTTCTCAAAAAAAAGCAGGGATAATATTTTTTTAAAACTAACAGAAATATAAAAATCTAATTAAAAATAATTATTTACTTTTAAAAATAAGACCTATAATCCCATATAATGACAAAATTATATCTATATAAAATAAATTTTATAATGTAATGTAATTTGTTACAGTAATAGAATGCACTACCTCTATTGTAATTTATACTAATCGATCACCATGTTAATTGATGATGAATTATTCAAAAATAAATTATGCTTAATTATATTTGTACCCATAATACAAATGAGTTTATAATATTTTAATGCACGTCCTCAATTAAATTAAAATGATGCGATAAATGTGCAAATGTGAATAATCCTGATATAAAGCAAATTTAATGAAGAAGCTCATTACGTTTATTTTAATTATCTAGTTAATAGAATTATGGTAGTAAATTTTATTTTTGTCTGAAATTTTCAGAAGTTTTTGCATAGGACATGGGTCTAAATTTTAAAAATTTGTATATTGAAAATGTTATGGATTTTTTTTAGTGATTGAATTTTGTAATACAATATAATTCATATATATTTTATAAAAAAATTCTATGACAAATTTAATATGAAAAAGCATTAAATTTCAAACGTTGTTAAACATTGCAACTCTAAATATTATAATTCCACATAATCATTTCGCGTTTATACCGCGATGTTATTACAAATAGCTGAAATAATTCTGAGTAATTATTGTTTTGTGTATTTCATATGATTCAATTATTAATTACATAAACGTAATAAATAGTAAATGTGTGGGTATTTTGAATATTTTAGTGAAATATGTTAAACGTAACTCGATGTCATTCAATCATAATTCGCCTTTTGTATAGTGACTGTGCCAGGCTATTCATTTTGTTGCAAATGCAGTAAATTAATTTGAAATTTAATCATTGGATGTGTTAGTAATTAAACCAAAATACTAAATTTAGTTCCAATATGGTTAATATAAATTACAATATTCATAGGAGCACAAAATTCCGAATGGGTCCATAAATTTTGTTTGGAATATAAACTGCTCCAAAAAGTTAAAAAATTGTTTTATGTAAAATCCAAGCTTGGTTTTAAAATCAAAATCATTATAGAAGTTATACCTCTAAACATATTATATATTTCAAACTCCATGATTTGCTGCATAAAATATTCTTCCAATACTTTTCTCTCGGAGCAGCCGATTGCTTGTTACATGTAATAAATGTTAAAATATGAGCAACACAAAACTCAACTTTCTGCATTATGCAAGATACCGTCGTCTTCTCGGAAGAAACTGGCTGGAGTTGGTAGTTTCAAATCAAATTACAGACCAGGATATCGACCGATGATAGTTTTTTGCTATGCTAATGCAATTAGCGCCAGTAACGAGTGGTTCAATCTTTGCGACGGCTTCTACTAATCACGAACAGATGAAAATACATTAAAAAATACATTTGGAGACAGATTTCGGATTTTGCAGAACAAATTTTCATTTAAATCACACGTCTCATCTACATTGTAATTATTTCAGTAATGCAAATTGTATTCCAACTTGGAAAAATTAAACAGAGATCCAGGAATGGACGAGAAGGAAAATGGATAACAAGACGTGAGTGAGGGATATATATATATATATATATATATATATATATATATATATATATATTATTTATACTGATAATTTTCGTTGATTGAATGTCCATTGAATGTTTTATTATTTTACAATGTTCATCATGCATTTATATTTTCTGTCGTATTAAAAGAATGAAATGAAAAATAAATAAAATTGAAATGTAAAATTAAAACATTTTACACCAATATCTAGTTATTTTATAGTACCATGTTATAGATTGATTGACTGTATTGATTAAACTCAACAAAATATATAAAAAAGTGAAATACTCACTTATCAAATCGTCACTAACTTAAATCTAGTTCCTAAGACAGCGGCCATGCAGCGTGTTGACCCGTTTTTGGCGCATGGGTCAACACGTCGGTGTGGTGCCTGC